AGATTACTAGAAACGGGAGGGGGTTCAATTTCTGAGCATCATCTACAACTATATTCTCCACACAGTGGTTGAAATTTCCTTGACAAAAAAGCGCTGGTTTCCCGAAACATTTTCCTTAAACAAAAAAAAATGGAGAAAAGTGTTTTTTTTCTGTGAAGTTCACCACAATGAAAAATGCAAATTTTTCAAAAGGCGCACTTTCCAGACGGATTTTAGATTGGGCAAATTGAGGGGAGGGGAGGCATCAAATATCTCGGCTGGATGACGAACGTCTGGAAGAGAGAGAGAGAGAGAGAGAGAGAGGCGTGAGCGTGAGGAGTGCGCAGAAAGACAGATGGCGAGAACCTGGAGACTGAGAGAGAGAGATGAGAGAGATAGCGGAAGAGGGAGGGAAAGGAGAGAGAGAGACAGGGGGAGGAGAGATAGAGAGCGAGAGAGAGCGGGCCAAAGAAATACAGGAGCAGGAAGAGAGCGGAGGAAAAGAGCGAGATATGGAGAGAGACAAAGTGAAAGAGCGAGAGAGAGGAAGAGGAAGCGAGAAAAAAAAACCGTGGGTTAGAGAGAGGACGAGAGAGAGAGCGAAAAAAAGAGAGCGAAGAGCGAGAGCAAGCGAAAGAGAAGCAGAAAATATGTGTGTGAGGTGTTTGTAAGCCGATCCCTATCCGCCATCTTGGATGTGCCCCTGGGGCACATCCAGGAAAAACCAACAATGCGATCCCTTCACCGCCGTTTTTAGGAAAAGACCGGAAAAACCGTTTCTCTCTGTGTGCCGTCCATTTTTTTACCCCATCGCTCCCCTGGCAAGGAAATGAATATTTCTTCCAGGCAATACACCAGGGGAACCCAGTTGAACAGGTGCCTGTTGCCTGGAACTTCAGGAAAGCGCTGATAATTTTAGGGATTTCGCTAGGACATAGTAAAGGCATTCTGTTGAAAAAACTGAACAATTCCTCAAGAATCTCTGCTAACCTGCCCGAGACTGGTTCTAAAACCCATAACAATTATTGAAAATTCGTGTTTCAAAATTGTCGCACTACAACATCGAGCCAGGCACAATAATCCGTCGATAAACCGGACCATAACCAAATCTAGTCATACAAGTTGTTTTAATTAACTTAATAATTTTATCGTTGATTTAACGTTACGGCGCTTGTGCATTATCGGGGGGGGGGGAGTTTATCAGGAGTGAAATTGAATTTTTACAGGTCGTAAAACGCCTAGTCCCGTTTAGTAAGTTTTTTCTAGTGTTTTAAAATTTAACGATATTGAAAATCGAAAAAGTATCCAACAATCGTTAATCTGCTCTTTAGCGTTAAATTCACCGTATGAATCTCTGCTAGTTTGCCCGCTATTAAAATATTCAAAATGTTTCGAAATTCATGTTTCAAAATTTTGGCTTTAGTGCAGCGAATAAGACGCAATATTTAAGCTCAGCGTCATGCTGGTAATCCAAACTAGGTAAACAATTTTCCTTTATTTAAAATACATTTTATTTACTTGATTTGACGGTGCTTGTCTATTATCGGGTGTGGTTATCAGGACTGAAACAAAATTTTTAAAATTTATTTGCGTCTGGTAAGCCTTAAATTATTGTTTCTTACCGAATTAAATTGTATTTAAATCGCAAAAAATTTTGTAAAACTTTCCAAATAATTAGATAAATTGAAAAATCTGATATTCGATATTTTTGTTGATATTTTTAGTACAATTTTTAAGGTTTGCACGCTTAAGAATAGTGAAAAACAGTTTAGAAACACTCGTTTATTTTTATTAAAAAAGTGAATCCTAAAGAAAACAATTAATCCCGCCCCCCCCCCGATAACGCAAAAGCACCCTATTCATTATTTGTAAAATAAAAAAATTCGGTAAAATTAGCATAAAATGAAAGGTACATTTTTAGGTGGGGGTGGCGTGGGTGGGAGAGATGAGGTAAAATTGACTTCACCTTTCTAGGCAAAGTCCTAGCCGCCGAAAAGCCGTGGTGGGACCCGAGGAGTCGGGGGATAAGCCAGCCACCACCTAGAAAAGGCCTACTAGGGGGCCATTTGCAATTTAATTGGATGCGGCGACATTTTTTTCGTTTTCGGGATCGCCGGAAGCCCCCGTCAGAACACACAACTTTTCGAGTTGGCAAGAGAGAGGAAGAGGGAAGAGAGAGTGAGAGAGAGAGACAGACCGGAGAGAGTGAGAGAGAGTGAGAGCGAGAGAGGTGGAGACCGCAGGCGAGAGCGAGTGATAAAGAGATAGACAGAGCGAGAGAGAGAGTGAGAGAGCTAGAGAGGTAGAGAACGCAAGCGCGCAGAGAGAGAGCGTGAGAGTGAGAGTGGGGAAGAGATAGATAGACAGAGCGAGAGAGAGCTAGAGTGATAGAGAACGCAAGCTGAAAGCGAGAGAGAGAGAGAGAGAGGGAGAGAGAGAGAGAGAGAGAGAGGAGAGAGAGAGAGTGAAAACCACCTAGAATGTCATACTCCTGCACTCATTTTATGCATCAAAGAGCCTCTACCACACTACCTGATCATATGCTAATTACAACACATAAACCGTCAAAACACATTTTTTCAAAATTTTTGAAGCATTTTTGGAACATACTAAATGAAAGGTGACCTAAAGACCGTATTTTTTGAAAAATAGACGAAAAATCAAATTAGAATAGTCCCTAATTACATTGATAAAGTGAAGTGCATCAAGACAGCCAATACCATAAATTAGTGAATAAAATACCAAGATTCTGAGAGCTCGGAGAAAAGAATTCATGAGCATATAACAAAAACAATTTTTCAAACGAAAAACGACACGAAACCACGAAAACGAAGTTGCATAGAATTCGATCCGATTTCCCATGCGAGACTTGTCTCTCTCCCCTTGAGAAAATCAATTCTGGCATAAAATCGGGTTTTGAAAAATAGAAAAATAACATACAATATTAAAAAGTCTTATAATGGAATAATGAATGGAGAATAACAGAATATTTTACTGTTAAAGTGAGGAGAAACCGGCTCCTTATTTTACTCGGTTTCGACGTATTTTATTGTCATCGTCATAACGACCAATTCATAAAAATAGCAAATTTCGCAATGCCGATGTTTCCGTACTATGAAAGCTTTTGTCCACATGAAATGTAGGTTTTACGAAACAAATAATTTTTGATATCTGTCCATTTTTAAAAATTTCAATAACCTTGGAAAAAATTTAGTTTTTTAACTAATTTACCTACTATGACACTTTTATAGGATGAATTTTGACATTTTTAGAACTCATTTTTCGTTATTTCGGCATTATTTCGGCATCATGAATTTGGGCGCTTAAAGGGATACCCAATGTTTTGGCGGCAAATATATAGTTATGTATTCCGGGGAGTACAAATGACGCGCGAATTTTGTGCGGTAATGGATGCCCAGTGCCGCACAGAATTCGGCCTCCTCTCCCTCTTGTGGCGTCCCCATCCCACCCAATGGCTTGCCACTATGGCCTAATGGATAGCATACAGGCCTAGAAAACGGGGGTCCCGGGTTCGACCCCCGCGCGCGCCATGGTTTTTGCTTTTTTGAGCCCCGAAAGGTTGGGTATCCCTTTAAGACATTATGACAGCATTATTTCGACATCATGAATTCGATATCAAAATAAATAATACGTCTTTTGGAAAGCTTCCACGGCAGCGCGTCTAGACCTAGTCATCCTAAGGGTCGGTTGACCGCTTCCCGGTTCCTTTAAATGATTAAATGAGTTTCAGCCCGTCACCCCGTCGATGTTCAGCAACTTTTGCCAGCACCGTGGAGGGAAAATTCCAAGTGAAGTGGGTGCAGCATTACTTGAATACATTCCGCGTTTTCTTCCAGACTTGGTCATCTACTAGCCCGCGAAAAGGACAAGGAGCGGATTGAATACGGAAGGTAGGTTTCTGGTTCTGATTTTAAAATGTACAAATTGTTCAGGAAACGAAAAAAAGCGAGCTGGTCTACGTTCCGGCAGACGACGAAGAGACGTACGGTATCCGGAACTGGAATTCGAATCAAAAGGTGGTTTTTGCCTTCAGATAAGAGCGGAGCGCGAAGAGAGAGAGAGAGAGAGACAAGACCAGACAGGAATGCGAAACTACGTTTAATTGAAAAGTTTTAAAGACAGAAAAGTGTTAATTTTCGAGCAAAACACAATTTTTCAAAACCTGGTTTTCTATTGTTTTTTTGTACGCGTAGCTACGTTTTTACTCGCCGCTTCCTTTAAAAACTTTTGGACCTACCTCGAGTTTTCAAATTCGATGGCTATTACTCTAGTTTTTGCTTGCTGGCCAAAAAGTGAGCTGGTCGAATTATTGAGTTTTGCGCTCGATTTGCGTCCAAATTTTTTGAAACGCAATTTTTCAAAAAAACACAAAAAGCAAATACTTTTTCACTTTATTTTTTCTTTACTTTTTTTTATTTTACACATTTAAAAGGGCCAAAATAGTTAATTTTTCAAATAATAGTGATATATCTTTTCGACCCTATTAAACTCCTATTTTTCAGGTTTGAAGACTTTTCTAATCTATAAGCTTTTGAAGTCAGACATGAATTAGGCCTTTTATTTATCGTAAATCACGAATAAATCAACAGTTCTGCAATCAGTGCCTCTATTTTTGAAACACAATTTTGTAAAAGCACAAAAAAACCTGGTTTTACTTTATTAATTTTTGTCTATTTTATGTTGTGCTATGTCAGAAATATTTCAATAAAATAATGAATGTTGATTTTGCAGCCTTTTAAAACCCGGAATTCATGATTTTTCACGACTGGGTTTAAAGGGGTTTTTATTTAGGGAGGGTTTCTACCTTTGTTGGACTGTGGGAACACCCCGTGATCGATTATCAAGTTCTGCGCCCGATTAGCGTCCCAATTCTTTGCAACATAAATTTATACAAATTCAAAAAATGAAAAACCTATATTTATTGATTTTGTCTAATTTAAAAGCTCATTATAGCTATAAAATTTTGTTACAGCCAAAAGTCAATTTTTTCCTTTCAGATGATGTACCTTCTCCTGCCAATTCCTCCCACCCATCCCCACTTCCGGCCGGTGCTGGGACCCGGTGAAGCCGATGGGGCACTGCTTTCCGGTTTGCGGTAATAAAATTTTGCGCTAAAAACTTTAAATATCACTTGATGAACGCAATTTTACCGCAGATTGCTAAAAACCAAACCAAAAGCTGAAATTACCGAAACTGTTTCAATGTTTCACGGGAATTCCCAAGCTCGAGCAGCAGGTTCTTGAATAATTGGAGCTCTGCTTTCTCGCGAAAATTTAGAGCCACACCGATTTCGCGGCGCACGAGATCAAATTCGCTGACATGGCGCTGGCGATCAGGGCCGCCGAGGAGGAGCTGGGCACGGCGGAAATTGTAGGGATTAGAGCAGGCTAGTAGCACAAACAGTTTGCGGTATCTAGATTACGTCGCGCTGGAGCGAACCAACGACGACGCGATGTCTATGGAATACCAGGTTTCTCTGCTGCCGATCGAGTCGCACGGGCTTTTTGACGAGGAGCTGTACAAGAGGCTGGCACCACACCATCGAAGGAAAAGATGGTTCGAGCTGAGCGGTGAGGAGCGAGAGAGAGTGAGAGAGAGAGAGAGAGAGAGTGACAGCGAGGAGCAGAGCGAGAAAGCGAGAGCGAGAGAGCCTGAGAGAGCTTAGAGAGCGAGAGAGAGAAAGAAAGAGAACGAGAGAGAGAGGGGGATAAGAGAGAGAGAGAGAGCAAGAGAGAGAGCGAGAGAGCGATCCAAAGTTCAAGATTTTAGTATCCCACTACTCGTTCAGCAACTTCCGACTGCGCCTGTCCAGGACCGATTTACGCCGAGTCGAGGTGGGAACTCGCTTAATTTCAATTTTTATCTTTTTTGTTCTTTTTTGAAACTATAAATACTCTTTTCATTCCAAAAAAAATTTTTTAGTTGGCAAAATCCTCGGGACAGCCCTATTTTGCATCGTTGATGCTCGGCACGTTTTTGTGGTATCACTGGAGGACGGGGACGTATCGTAGATTGTGAGTTGTTGGCGAGAGAGAGAGCCCGCGAGAGAACGGGAGAGAGAGAGAAAAGAGAGAGAAGAGAGAGACAGACAAGAGAGAGAGAGAGTGTGCAGAGAGCAAGAGCTCCATATTCTAATTTTAGCACGGCCACCCGTAATCTACTACCCAACATCCCGGTGCTGTTCAGCCGCAAGAAATCGGAAGACGTCGTCGAGCTTCTTCCCTAGTGATCCGAAGGTCATTTGCATCACTATAATTCAACCATTTTACATTTAAAATCTTAACTGAATACCTCAAGATTTTCTGAACGTTATTTTGTAGGAATCCACGTTTCCAGAAGACCCATATGTAAATCTCAATTTCGAGGGAGCACGAGGAGAGAATGAGGAAAATCTAGCATCAGGTATCAGAATCAACTCTTTTTCCAATTAGCATAATTAAAATTCATGAAAAAATATTTTAGTTTTGTCGAAAATCAGAATTTTTAATATTTCGGCATTTTTGTCGAAATTGTCGAAAATGCATTAAATTTCTTCGAAAGGGATTTTCGACAACCCTTTCGACAAACGGCAGAAAAGCTCAAATTAGCATATCCAGAGGTCGAGGAAATCGAGCCGCATACTGTAGCCTCGGCCGCAGCAACGACACGGAACTGACGCTCCTGGATTTTTGACTATGAAATTTATTGAACTATTTATATATAGCATCGGCTATCGATTCAAATATTCAAATTCTATCTACTTATTTTTGCAATATTTCATAAATTTTGCCTGATTTTTTAAACTTTTTTTTGAGTATGCAAATTTCTGTATAGTTTTCCAGGGTAATTGCTTACTTAACAAGACAAGCAAAACAATAAATGCAGATAAATCTAAATCTAAATATAATTTTTGCAATATCTTGCTCTTATTTTCACCCAATTTGCATATTTTACATACCCAGAAAATTCAGAAAATTCCAAGAATTTATTGATCCAAGGCACCGGCATTTCAGAGGACACACACACCAAAGAATTATTCACACACAAAACAAGCAACAGTTGCCCGAAAAAAGGCGAAAAATTCAAGAATGCACCCTACCATTAATGCACGGATTAAGGAAATTATGCTAATTTTTGTTTGAATTTTTCAGGAAAATTTGAAAAGCCAAAATCATTAATGCGTCAAGGACGAGAGACCAGTTTTGCGCTATCAACCAAACGGTACCAATCGGTTTCGCAGGGCATAGCGCAAAATTTGTAATATTTCTAGAATGAAGGAAAAATGAAAATCACTTAAATTAAATTAGAAAACGATTGGGACACGATTAAACTAAATTCTGTTAGCTTATATCGTTGGGAATGAGCAAAATTAGAGTGCCAGGTGAGGGTGGGCTAGGCGAGATTCGAAGGAACGAGATTATGCAGATTAGGGGGCGTCTATTTCCGTTTTTGGCCTTGGGAATGCTCGCGGAAATTCTCGGGCACTCCTGGAGAGGATGCTGTGCCAAGTGCCAACCGGTTTCGATTTCTGAAATTTTAAAATTAAATAGATTTATAGCAATTTTTTCTCAATTATTCAGCCAAGCTAAACCTAAGATAAGCCTAAGCCTAAGCCTGAGCCCTAAGCCTAAGCCTAAGCTCGAAGCATAAGCCTCAAGCTTAAGCCGAAGCATAAGCCTAAGCCTAAGTAGAAGCTGGCCGGGGGGCAGGCTAGCAGAGATTGTTGGAGGAAGAGAGGGCAGGCTAGCAGAGATTGTTGAGGAAGAGGGAGAGGGGCAGGCTAGCGGAGATTGTTGAGGGAAGAGGAGAGGGCAGGCTTGCAGAGATTGTTGAGGGGAGAGAGAGGGCAGGCTAGCAGAGATTGTTGAGGAAGAGGAGAGGGCAGGCTAGCAGAGATTGTTGAAGAAATATTGCTTACATGTCCCTGATCGGTGTATACTAATGCAAAGCATTGTTCCCACTGCGTCCTGCCCTGGGAGATCGGGCTGTCATGTGCCCGAGTATCGTGACAGCCAAGGAGGTCGTCTTTTCCGATGCTAAAAAATAGTTATTTAAAGTCAAACAGCATTTTACTGGTTTAATTAACTAAATACACTGATATCGTTTCACAAAAACAATGATTTTTCAAAAATTAGCATAACGGAAAAACCAACCGATCCCAGTCCATCACTTGCACTAGCATGTTTGTCTCCGCCGGCCTGCGTGGAGGGCAGGTCGAACTCGAGCGTCTCGTGGTATACCTTAAATCAAGATAGGCCATGCCACCTTAAGAAATGATTCTTACCGGGTTCAAATTTGCGCGTTTCGTCGTAGTCTTGCGTAGCTTCACCCGTCGCCCCCGGTACACCTGTTCCACCTTCACGTACGGGCCTGAAAGGGATTAGGGGTTGGATTGACTTGAAGAGCCTAAGTCGATCCCTAAGCCTAAGCTTAAGTCTAAGTCGAAGCTTAAGTCCAAGCCTAAGCCTCAGCCCAAGCCCAAGCCTAAGGCTAAGCCGAGACCAAGCGCATGGCTAGCCTAGGCTAAAGCCCAAGCTAAGCCAAGTCAAGCCAAGCCCAGCCCAGCCAAGCCGGAAGCCCAGCCTCCCCAGGCTAAAGCCTAAGCCTAAGCATAACCCTAAGCCTAAGCCTAAGCGAAGCCTAACCTGAAACCCTAAGCTAAGCCTAAGCCCAATACCTACCGACGCTCCGGTGATGTCCATCGGCCGTAGGTTGTACGCCTTGGCGACGGTGACCCACAACTTCTGCTCGGTCACCGAGTACGACAAGTAGAGCAGCAGATCGCCAAAATCGTTCTTTTCCCTGAAAAAATGACGAGTATACGTTTGTACAGCGCATTAATTTTTCCAAAACTAATAAAACGGCACTTTTTCAGGAAACATGCTAATTTCATCATAATTCTTCGATAGGAAACTCCGATTTTCAGGAAAAATTTAATTGTTTTAACAAAAAATAAAACGATTTTTAATAAAGTGAACGATCGAAGTCCTAATAGTCTTTAAAAAATTCAGCAAATTTTAGTAGAACATAACTTTTATTAAGAAGGAGAATGTTCCGTGATTAAACCATCAACATTTTCTCAAAATTTAGAAATGGGTTTTTTCCGAAACATATTTTTAAGAGCTGAAGCAGTGTTTAAAAATCAATATAATGTAAATTTTGGAAAAAAACGATAAAAAATTAGCTTTATAAAAATAGGTGGTGTTGATTTAGAATAGAGGACTACGAAAATGCCTTTCCCAAAAAAATCAGCATTACGCGAATTCAAAAACTGATTACAATTCGTCTTTAAGATTTTAAGTTTTTCGTCAATTGTTTGCAACTTTAAAGGAATCGATCGACGTCCTAATCATCTTTAAAAATTTTGACGTGACACAGTTTTTTCAGAAAACATATTTTTTTAAGAACAATTTTCTTTGCAGGTGCGAAAATAGCTTATCAAAAAAGGAGAAGAATCGTCTGGCAACCCATCAAACAATTTTTCAAAATTCTAGAAAATGCCAGTTTTTCCAGAACATATTTTCTTATAAAAATTATACAAAACATATATTTTTTATAAACCATAAACGATAAACAAATTTGATTTATAAGAAACAGCTAAATAATTTTTTATTCGAGAACACGAAATGGCTTTTTCTTTGAAAAAAATAAGTAGTACCCAGGGTTACTACGCTGGATCCTAATCGATCCGGTCCGGTCCGGGGTCGGTTCGGTCCGGTCCGGTCCGTAATTTCCATCCGGATCGGACCTGTCTGGTCCGTGGCGGACCGAGGGGCTTTTGATTTGCTAGGAGAACGGAAAATGCAACATGCAAATTCGGATTGCAAAAGGTGGAGTACGAAAAAATAACGCAATGTGGATCGCTTAATCAAAAATGGGTAAAATTACTCATTCCCAATTACTTTTTGGCGATATACGCGATGGATAGTAGCATAGTGATGTGGAAAAATATGTCAAATTCTTAGAGAGTTTGTATTTGCATACAAAATTTTCCATATCTGGCTCTGAATATGTCCTTGTGTTCAGCCCGGACCGGTCCGGTCCGAAATCTCGGATCCACTCGGACTGATCCGGACCGGACTGGACCGCGGACCGTCCGCGGATCCCGATCCTTTAAGACCAACCCCGGTAGTACCTGAATATCAACAACAATTAAATTTTTTCATTTTCATGAAACGTCCATTCTTTAAACATATTTTTGAATTTAAAGAAAACCACACTTAGGGCTTTTTTCGGTCTCCTCCCCAAAAACTTGCTAGCCTGCCCTCCTCGGACGCCCACCTCACCTGGCTGCAGACGATTTGCATCGTTAACTCGGTCCACGCGTATAAGTCGCTCTTGTCGAACAGGTCGCGCATAATTACGTTGCCTAAAACAATTGTGAACCAACAAACTATTTAAATTCATTAATTAAATTCAGCGCGATTTTTTAATATAAATAACAATTATTAATTAATAAAGCCTAATTTGAAATCAATAAATTAAATTAAATTTGAATTTATTAATTATTGAACTAATTAATACGATTAACGTAAACAAAAGAAATTAAATTCGCACTAGTTATAAATGAGAATAAGACTCAGGATTGTTTGAATTTTGAGTTTTGAAAATTTCCAAAACATCATAATTTCGAGTCCTGAAAATTACTCACCTATCAACCCATGCCTCGTGAAGCGGCCTCCGAAATCATAGACGGTGAACTAAAAAACAGCGTTAAAATCGGAAAATTAGCCGAAACTTTTAATGTAGTTGTTTCAATTTAATAGCCCTAAACTAAATGACCTGCAACATTTTAATTGGGACAACGTGTTGAAGGGGCACGTCGAAGCTGAACATTTCGTTAAATTCTAAAATTGATGAGCTACGGTAAATATCTAAAAATTTTGTATTACCACCTGGATCGTTCGTCTTTTGCATATTCTCGTTTTACATTGGTTTCGACGGTCGGGGAGGAGGTAGACTTTTGCATATGGATCCACTTGTTTCGCTCCTTGTCCTGAAAATTGGGGGTGAAATTGGCGCAAATCTCTGCTAGCCTGCCCTCTCCCTCTTCCTCAACAATCTCTGCTAGCCTGCCCTCTCCTCTTCCTCAACAATCTCTGCTAGCCTGCCCTCTCCCTCTTCCTCAACAATCTCTGCTAGCCTGCCCTCTCCCTCTTCCTCAACAATCTCTGCTAGCCTGCCCTCTCCTCTTCCTCAACAATCTCTGCTAGCCTGCCCTCCTCTTCCTCAACAATCTCTGCTAGCCTGCCCTCTCTCCTCTTCCTCAACAATCTCTGCTAGCCTGCCCTCTCCTCTTCCTCAACAATCTCTGCTAGCCTGCCCTCTCCTCTTCCTCAACAATCTCTGCTAGCCTGCCCTCTCCTCTTCCTCAACAATCTCTGCTAGCCTGCCCTCTCCTCTTCCTCAACAATCTCTATGCTAGCCTGCCTCTCCTCTTCCTCAACAATCTCTGCTAGCCTGCCCTCTCCTCTTCCTCAACAATCTCTGCTAGCCTGCCCTCCCTCCTCTTCCTCAACAATCTCTGCTAGCCTGCCCTCTCCTCTTCCTCAACAATCTCTGCTACTAGCCTGCCCTCTCCTCTTCCTCAACAATCTCCTGCTAGCCTGCCCTCTCCTCTTCCTCAACAATCTCTGCTAGCCTGCCCTCTCCTCTTCCTCCAACAATCTCTGTTAGCCTGCCCTCTCCTCTTCCTCAACAATCTCTGCTAGCCTGCCCTCTCCTCTTCCTCAACAATCTCTGCTAGCCTGCCCCCTCCTCTTCCTCAACAATCTCTGCCCCAGCCTGCCCTCTCCTCTTCCTCAACAATCTCTCGCTAGCCTGCCCTCTCCTCTTCCTCAACAATCTCTGCCCAGCCTGCCCTCTCCTCTTTCTCAACAATCTCTGCTAGCCTGCCCTCTCCTCTTCCTCAACAATCTCTGCTAACCTGCCCTCTCCTCTTCCTCAACAATCTCTGCTAGCCTGCCCTCTCTCTTCCTCAACAATCTCTGCCCTAGCCTGCCCTCTCCTCTTCCTCAACAATCTCTGCTAGCTCACCTCGACCGGCAAATGGTTGGCCCTCAATACGTGGAGCATCAGCACCCGGTGGATAAAATCGTAGCGCAGCGCGAACGATCCAGCGCACCCCTGAAAAAGGCATATTTTAAAGGTGCACGGAAGTCCGAATCCATGGCTTCAATAATCCTTTAAAATCCGCAAAGTCCCAAAACGCACCGATAACAATCTTTGCCCGTTTTCTCGTAAAACCCAGTTCGTATCGTAGCACCGGGCGCTCGTCCACCTCATCGTGCTAAAAGAAAAAATTTAAATTGAAAAACTAGAAAATCGGAGAAGGACCTAAATATGCAAATTAAAAGATACATACACATCTTCCGGGAATTCACCCTCATCATTGAACAAAAAATGAGCTGCTTTTAGCGGACGAGGCGCGCCTCTCTGACGAATCCGACGCGTCTGAGCTGAAAAGAAATTTTTTTGAATCTACGTATCTTTGAATATTTGCTTTTCTACTTTCTCTATAAATATATCGGTGTTTTTACAGTGAAATTTTAAATTTACTGCAAAATTTTTACTTCTTAATCGGTTTTAAAAAGACCAAAGTCGGTTTTTATATTCTAGGACCTTGTTTAATTCCGTTAAGAAAATGTATCGTGAATTTTGCGGGCGGACCGGACGTTAAAAAATGTTTCAGTTTAATTCTAGATTCGCTTAAAAACCTGAATGGCATAATTTTTTGTTGAATTTTTATCGAAAAAGATGTTTCACAAATTTTTGTGCTTCTGCGAAAGTGTTGTTTCTTAATAAAAGACCGCTGTACGTATGGATTTCTTTAAAAAAATCTGTTTTATATCGTAAAGGTCTGTTTAATACCTTTTAACTAAATGCCTCTTAAATTTACGGCCGATTGAACGTTAAAAAAATGGTTTTCCTTAATTCTAAGTTCGATTAAAATTTAATAAAATTTTTTAATTTTTTATAGAAAAAAATGTTTTTACAAGTTTTGCGCATCGGGGAAACCGTTTAATTTATAATTAGTGAAGGGCCCAACACATCTTCTTTTTGTTTATTTAAGGAGTCGCTTTTATATATTATTTTAGAACCTTGTTTTATTCCGTTAAATCAATGCTCCGGAAATTTTGAGGCCTATTGAACGCTAAAAATGTTTTGTTTAAACTCTAAATTCTAAGTAAAATTTAATGTTGTGAGTTTGTATTGGCATGCTAACTGTGACTTCTGCTATTTATTTTGGGGAAGTTATGGTTGCATTTAGAATCTGGCTTAATTCCATAAAATAAAAAGTAAAAGTAACGTAAAGTTTACGGCCGGTTGAACGTCAGGAAAATGTATTAATAATGTCATTGCTTCTTTTCAAAAAAGATCATTAAGTCTTGAAAAACCGTGGGTTTCATTTATCTATGGGTTTTCGCGAAAGAAGCCATTTTATAATAGGCCGTAGTCTTGATTCCAAATCTTCTATTTTATAAATATAATGAGCGGAATTGTTTCTAAATTGTTTTTTGCTGGTCACTGAAAAGTAAAAAACTTTACAAATTTTTAATAAAAAAATACAGGACGTATCGATTCTTCGACCAAAATTGCTGCATTTTTCGTCAAAATTTTCGGTTTTTTTAAAGTTTTTAGATTGTATTGCTGGCTTAAATATAGTTTTATTTTATTAAAAATATTATCAAAAGGCTGCTATTTAGTTACTAATATTTCTAAACTTATAGAAAAAATTTGCCCCCCGATAATGCGAAAGAACCATAAGTTTATACATAGTTTTGGATTTTCCGAATTTCCCTGGACTTGCCGGTCCTTCAAAAGCTATCCCCCGCCCTTACCGTACGTCGACGAGAACAAGGGTCCCGGGTGCCTGTCGTGATGAGAGGCATCGAGCGTGGGGGTAGCAGGGCACATGCTGACCCCTGGTGCGACCTTTTCGATGGGAGGGCAGGATTCGAGGAAGGCCAGCAACGTCTGCGGCCTGCGCCAGCTTCTTACGCATTAATGGTAGATGAACACGGGAGATAAAGCCAGAGAAAGAGGGAGAAATAGCACAATAAAAACTACTATAAAGCCCATCGAGAATTTGAAAAATGTTACGCTTACTTCAAAATAACTAAAAATTAAAAAAATTTTTAGAAATTAGTTGCAAATTAAAAAACCGCTACAAACTACTATAAAATACATAATATATTATTGAACAAATTGGAAAATAACGCGTCAAAAGAAAAATAATTTTCCAAAAATGAAAATTTAAGGTTTTCTCAGTTTTTATTGTTATTTAAGTAATCAATTCAAAATGTTTTTACTTAATAAAAACTGTTTTCATAATTTAGCAATTTCTAACGGTTTCTAAAATGTTTAAATTAATTGATTATCCAAAAAAAAAACTGCAGCGTAACGTAACAGAGAAAATCAAGTCATCCCCCATTATTTAACGAGAATCCAAGCCGTGCCCAAGTCATGCATGAAACCCATTTTTTGAGCCGATTTCCTATTGATTTCCTCAACAATCTCTGTAAGCCTGCCTCTAAATTCAAACTGCAAAAACTTCCCGATTCGCGAAAGTAGCTGCTCGGGGGTGGTGCGGAAATTTCGCACCTTCGCCCTGAATTTGGTGGGGGCCCAGCCCATAATTGGGGCCCTTTAATTGGGCCCCCTCATTCTCATTTTGTTGTCCCAACCCGAAATTTGCACCCTCACAAAGCGGTGCAGGAGGTGCCCATTTGGGGCCACCGGGGGATAAGCGCCCGGAAATGAGGGAATGGAAAGGGTGGAGACGGGATTTGACAAAATGATGGCCAGCTAGCAGGGATTCTTTGCGGAAATTGGGAAGTGGAAGAGGGCAGGCTAGAAGAGATTGTTGAGGAGGAGGGAGGGCAGGCTAGCAGAGTTGTTGAGGAAGAGGAGAGGGCAGGCTAGCAGAGATTGTTGAGGAAGAGGAGAGGGCAGCCTAGCAGAGACCGTGAGGAAGAGGAGAGGCAGGCTAGCAGAGCGTGTTGATGAAGAGGAGAGGGAAGGCTAGCAGAGATTGTTGAGGAAGAGGAGAGGGCAGGCTAGCAGAGATTGTTGAGGGAAGAGGAGAGGGCAGGCTAGCAGAGATGTTGAGGAAGAGGAGAGGGCAGGCTAGCAGAGATTGTTGAGGAAGAGGAGAGGGCAGGCTGAGCAGAGATTGTTGAGGAAGAGGAGAGGGCAGGCTAGCAGGGATTGTGGCGGAATAAGAGGACAGGTCAGGCTAGCAGTGATTGTTGAGGAAGTGGAGAGGGCAGGCTAACAGGTATTTGAGGAAGAGGAGAGGGGCGGGCTAGCTGGGTTGTTGAGGAAGGAGAGGTGAGGCTTGCTGGGTTGTTGAGGAGAGGAGGGGCAGGCCTAGAAAGATTGTTGAGGGAAGAGAGGAGGGGCAGGCTGGCAGAGATTGAGGGAGAGGAGAGGGCAGGCTAGCAGAGGTTGTTGAGGGGAAGAGGAGAGGGACAGGCTAGAGATTGTTGAGGAAGAGGAGAGGGGGCTGAGGCTAGCATGAAGAGTTGAGGAAGAGGGAGAGGGCAGGCTAGCAGAGTTTTGAGGAAGAGGAGAGGGGCAGGCTAGCAGAGATTGTTGAGGAAGGGAGGGGCAGGCTGGCAGGATTGTTGAGGAAGAGGGAGAGGGCAGGCTAGCAGAGATTGTTGGCGGAAAGGGTTGACTAGCAGGGTTTCTTTCTTTTTTAAAGGACCATTGAAGCCAAGGACCAGGAACAGCTGCCGACCGGAATTGTTCCTCCCGCGGTTTTGTTTGGGGGGCGAAGGGCGTCGCGCCGTGCCCACCCTGAAATCCGGTTGCCCCCCTCGGGCCGACGTGTGTGCCGAAATTCCGGCCCGGGCGGGAAATGTCATTTTTGCGATTTGTGCCGTCGCCCGCGTGCGCATCCCTTTTTTTGT